GTGGCTTGGAGGGGGAGTTGGAGGTGGTGTTCCCATATATCTGATGCCCTTGTCCTCCTAGAAGGTGCTTTCTGAGGAACTTTGGTGAATTTCTGCAGTGCATCTTGTAGATGGTACACATTGTTGCTACTGAGCATCGGTGGAATGAATGAATGCTCATTGAAGGGCTCCATCTAGTAGAAGAAGCTGGTCACTGCAGGGGGTCAACAGACCCTCAGGAACAGGAGTACAGGTGGATGCTGGATTTACAAACATCTGACTCATGAAAGTTTGTACTTACAAATGCCATCCTACACAAGGGTGTAATTTTAAATATCCAACGTACCAACATTTTCTGTATTTGGAAAAGGCTACTTTATATCATGCTACATTGGGTTCTAGCTGGGTTCAGAATCTGTTCACTAGCCAGTGGACTGCCTGTTGGCTCTTCAGCCTCTCCAGCCTATCCTGTCATTCAATGAGATCATGCTAATAGAGAGCTACAGGAGGTGGACTGCAGTGGTTCATGAAGGCATCTCACCGTTATCTTCTCAAGAATAACTAGGGAACGGCAATAAGCGCTGGGCCCAGCCAGCGACATCAATATCCCGTTTGAGAATTTTAAAAAAAAGACACCTTGTCCAGTGTGCTCTTAGTTAATTTAAAAAAAAATCAGCTTTGCTTTTTCTCCTGCTCACCACTATTCATCTCTTTGCCCAACCCTCTCTAGGTTCCATCTCCACCCATTGTTTACTCCTCCACCACACTCAACCCCACCCCACATCGTCACTGATTTTCCACTAATTTTGCACTCATCAGGATAATTCACAAGCATACCAATTCAAAGGGAAAACCAGCATTTATACTGTATGAAGGGGACTGGTGATTGTGTAGAAAGTGAACTCCGATTGGTAGACTAAAACAGAATACACCAGGTAGTGGACAATTAACTGCCAAATTTGTTTAAATTCAAACCAGGAAGGTTGACTGAATGATCAAGAAATTGCTTTGACCAATGAACCAGAGAATGGCTGCCACCTTTTGAGTTGAAAAAGTTACACAGTGAACATAAGGGCCATCTTGTAATTAGCCTTCCCCCAATTTAGCACCTTTACCTGACAACTACACTCATCTTTACCTATCTACCTTAAAGCTTACTGAATTGTGATCACTGTTCCCAAGCTACTCCCCTTCTGAGACGTTGACCACCTGGCCAGGTTCCATACACCTGTTATACTTCCATCAGGTTGTCCCTCAGCTTCTGACTCTCTAGTGAAAACTATTCAAGTCTGTACAATCTTCCTTATAGCTAATACAAACCAATTCAGTTAACATTCTGGTAAATAAAAACCAAAAGAACTGCAGATACTGTGCATCAGGAACATAAACAGAAGTTGCTAAAAGCTCAGCTGGTCTGGCAGCATCTGTGAAGAAACATCAGAGCTAATGTTTTGGGTCCAGCGACCCTTTGGAGTTGATTCTTCTTCACAGATCCTGCCAAACCTGCTAAGTATTTTCAGCAACTTCTGTTTTTGTTTAACATTTTGGTAAACATCTTTTGCACCCCCTCCAAAGCCTCCACTTCCTTCCTATATTGTGGTGACTAGAGACACACAATATTCCAAATGTGATTCAACTGAAGTCTTATACAGCTGCAATATGACTTGTCAACTTTTGTACTCAATGCCCTGACCAATGATGGCAAGCATGCCTTGTGTCTTCTTTACCACCTTATGCAGTGGTGTTGCCACTTCCAGGGAGCTATGGACTTGCACCTCAAAAGCCCCCTGTATATTAGTGCTCCCAAGGGTCCTGCATGCTAAAGGCCACAGGCTAGGAATCCTGCGGCAAGCGACCAGCGTCCTGACTCCTCAAAACCTGTCTACCTACATGGCACAAGTCAGGGAGTGTGATGGAATACTCCCCACTTGCCTAGATGGGTGCAGATCCAAACAACACAAATCAGCTTGACACCATCCAGGACAAAAAAATACGCTTGACTGGCACTCCATCCATAAACTTTACTCCTTCACCAATGCTCAGTTAGGACAATGTGTACTAGCTGTAAGATCACTGCAGAAATTCACCAAGACCCCTTGGGCAACACCCACCAAAGCCAAGACCTACTTCCATCTAGAAGGACAAGGACAGCAGATACATGGCAACAGAACAACCCAAGCCAGACACCGTTCGGACTTGGATGTATATCACCTGTTCCTTAAAATGTTTCAGTCAATATCTCAGCACTCTAAGCAGCATTGTGGGTCAACCTACAGCACGAATTGCAGCAGTTCAAGGAGGCAGATCTCACCACCTTTCCAAGGGCAACCAGGGATGGACAATAAATGCAGGCACAGTGATGCCCACATCGCTGACGCCAGACACCAACTCTGACACCTCTTCCTACCGTCCCCTTGATCATGACCCTACCTCTGATCACCAAGCCATCATCTGCTAGACCATCAACAACCTCATCACTTTGGGAGATCTCCAACCTGATAGAAACAGTTCCCCAACCCCACACCCACTTATCTCCTACCCAAAACCCACCTGCCCCAATTGACCCATCATCTCTGCCTGCTCCTGCCAAACCGAGCTCACCTCCTCTTACCTTGACTCCATTCTTTCCCCTTTGTTCCACAAACTCCCTACCTATATTCGGGACATAACCCATACCCTCCAAAACTCCTCTTCTCCAAAACTTTTAATTCTCTAGCCTCCCAACACCTCATCTTAACCATCAATGTACAGTCCCTGTACACCTGTATCCCCACACAGAGAGCTTAAAGGCCCTCTGCTTCTTCCTCTCCCAAAGGCCTAACCAGTCACCTACCACTGACACGTTCACTTGACTCAACTGGTCCTCACTCAATTTTTCCTTCGATTCCTCCTACTTCCTACAAACCAAAGGGGAGGCTATGGGCACCCACCTGGGCCTAAGCTATGCCTACCTCTGTAGGATTTGTGGTGCAGTCCCTCTTCCACAACTACACCAGCGCCATCCCCCACCTCTTTCTCCGCTATATTGATGACTGCTTCGGTACTGCCTCATGCTCCCGCGAGGAGCTCGAGCAGTTCATCAACTTCAACACCTTACACCTCACCCTCAAATTCACCTGGACTATTTCTGACACCTTCCTCCCCTTCCTAAACATCTCCATCTCCATCTCCAGAAACCAACTCACCACAGACATCCATTTCAAACCCACTGACTCAACTACCTTGACTACACCTCCTCTCACCCACCCTCCTGCAAATGCTATCCCCTACTCCCAATTCCTCCACTTCTGCTACATCTGCTCCCAGGATGAGGCGTTCTCTACTCCAGGACACCCCAGCTATCCTCCTCCTTTAGGGACCATAATTTCCCCTCCTCTGTAATTAAGGATGCCTTCAACCACATCTCTTCCATTTCCCACACTTCTGCCCTCAAATCTCCTCCCCACAACAATAAGGATAGAGTCCCTTTAGTCCTCACATAACACCCCACCAACCTCCAAATCCAACACATCATTCTCTGACATTTCTATGACCTAAAAATCAGACCTGACCACCAAAAAGATATTTCCCTCCCCACCCCTATCCGCTTTCCTCAGGGAAGGTTCATTCCGCAATTCCCTTATCAGCTCCTCACTCCCCACCAACTTCTCCACTACACCTAGTGCCTTTCCCTGCAACCGCAGGTGTGACAGCTGCCCCTACATCTCCCCTCTCACCTCTGTCCAAGGCCCCTTACAGATCCAGCAGAGATTCACCTGCACTTTATCCAACCTGATCTATTGCATCCATTGCTCCTGACGTGGTCTCTTCTATAATCGGGGAGACCAAACACAGACTTGGGGACCAGTTTGCAGAGCATTTGCATGCATCAACCAACCCAATCTTCTGGTTGCCATCCATTTTAATTCCCCCACCCACTCCCCTACAAATATGTCCATACTTTGCCTCCTCCATGGTCAGAATAAGGCCAAACGTAAACTTTTTTTCCCTTCTCCTTATTCATTCACGGGATGTGGGCATCGCTGGCTAGACCAGCATTTATTGCTCATCCCTAATTGCCCAAAGGGCAGTTCAGAATCAACCACATTGTTGTGGGGCTGGAGTCACATTTAGGCCAGACCCTGTAAGGACGACAAATGTCCTTTAGGGAAAAACCCATCTGGTTCATTAAATCAACAGATTCACGGTCATCATTAGATTCTTAATTCCAGATATTTATTAAATTCAAATTCCACAATCTGCTGTGGCAAGTTTCGAACCTGGGTCCCCAGAATGTTATCTGGGTCTCTGGATTAACAGTCCAGCGATAATACCACTAAGCCATCGCCTCCCCATCGTTGAGCAACACCACCTGATATTTCACCTTGGGAGCTTACTGCCCAATGGCCTCAACATTGACTTCATCAGCTTCAAAATCCCTCCACCCCCAGCCTTCTCATATCCAGCCTTCCCCCTCCTTCTCACCTCCCTGACTTGACCTTACTTGTCCATCTTCCTACTCACCTGTCTGCTCCACTCTTCCCATGGATCAAGCATCTGTCTGCATCCACTGATCACTTTCTCTGTTACCCTTTCCGCAGACCCCACGCCCCCTCCTTCTATTTCTGAACTCCCTTGTCCTGATGAAGGATTTCAGCTTGAAACGTGGACTTTCCTGCTCCTTGGATGCTGTCTGACCCATTGTGCTTTTCCAGCCTCATCTATAGACTCTGGCTTCCAGCATCTGCAGTCCTTATTGTCTCCAGTGATGTGCACATCCTTGAAAGAACAACGAACAGGTATTTGAAACAGGACGTAATTGTAAGGATTGTGAGGAGAATGTTGAAGAACAGACTAAATAAGACACCTGATTTAAGGGGAGAACAGCCCCAGTGTAGCAAGATTCCACTCAAATTGATGAAAGAATCAACTGTTTCAAGAAACTGCATATTCAATCCCACAAAATGTATTAACTGGTAAATCTTTTGAGCAGGTGAGCTGAAAACAAAGATCTGTACCTTGAATAAACGTACCGTGGAAGATCTGTGAACACATTTTATTAAATTTCCATCTTTCAGGGGCAAAAATTTAATGTGTTACATTTAAAGCAGCACTAGTTTAAAAATAAACAATTAAATAATCAGAACATTTTACAATGACTTGATTTGAGCAACTATTGCTGGTAGTGATGATCTGACACATGCAAGATATTTTGGGTATTGCCAGTAATGTCAAAAGGTTAAAAAAATGTTTCAGCTGCTCTTGTGGTTCATTTAAACTACACCAACACGTTCCAAAGTCAAAATATTTAAAATTTTTAAAAAATCTTAAAAAAAAATGCTTGCTCCTACTCCTTAAATAAAGTCGATAGCCAAGAGAAAAATAAAACCCATTTAAAATGAGGTTCTTCCAACCCACTCAGATGTAAACAGTGTCCCTATGGAAAATTAAAAGTCACACAGTCTTCCTATTCAACAATTTCCACTCCACATACAAAGTGCTGCTTGAAGTAGTCTTCAAATGTCACTGTGACATGTATAAATGCAAGTGCATTATTTCAGTAGAATACTACATTCTAAGGACCAGAGAGATTTACAGAATCTGGAGTCACAGTTCCTGCATAAGTCATTTGAGATTAGTCTCAATTGCAGACTGTACAGAATTTTTGTCCAAATTGTCATCTTCTGGTGAATGGTTCAAAGGCGTAGAACACCCGTTAATATACCAGTGATCAGGGCTGGCCTTTGAGTTCCTCCATTTCTCAGGAGGGGCTCAAACTTTTCTTTGCGTCATAACTGCCTGAATCTCCCCTTTTTGGTACAAATCTTGAGCTGCAATGAAAATTAAAAGCATGAATGAAGGCATCACATGACAATCTAGACTGTGTTCACCTAGATTTAGACCTAGATCTGCGAAAGTCAAGAAAAAATACAACCAAAAATCAAACAAAACAATTTGATACCTACAGATTTTCTCAGTCACAGGACCAGAGCATCTCTAGCATGGCCAGCTACCAATCCCCAATTGCTTTCAAGGTATTGGTGTAGGTGGTCGTGAACTGCCTTCTTGAACTGCTGCCCCACACAGTTCAAGGAATATCTGCAATGAGTAGAAACTGAAAGAACTGCAAATGTAAATCAGGAACAAAAACAGAAGTTGCTGGAAAAGCTCAGCAGGTCTGGCAGCATCTGTAAAGAAAAATCAGAGTTAATGTTTCAGCTCCAGTGACCCTTCCTCAGAATTGAGGACCCGAAACATTAACTCTGATTTTTCTTCAGAGATGGTGCCAGACCTGCTGAGCTTCTCCAGCAACTTGTTTTTGTTCCTGCAATGAGCAGGTTGCCTTATGGGGAAAGGTTGGACAGACGAGGTTTGTTGCCACTGGTGAGGTCATTGTTTAAGAATCAGGGCTCCCCATTTAAAGCAATTAGGCAAAATTTCCTCTCATTCTCTCTCTCTCTCTCTCTCTCTCGAGAGAGAGAGACTGTATCTATGGAATAAAAGAAAAGAAGAGGGAAACAGTCCTTGAAAACTGTTCATTTTAAATTTACTCATGGCACGTGGGCATTGCTGGCTGGGCCAGTATAACGATGGTGAGCTGCTGCCTGCAAATCACCAACCATCTGGGAGTAGAGAGGTGCACAATATCAGTAACAGGAGGCAGACAGACACACGTATTCTCTTGATGTTTTTCCTCCTGGACTGGAGAACTGCCTGTGAGACAATCTAGTTTCTGAATTTGCCTTTTGCCAAGGGTATTTTTATGGGATGTTACTATATTGGAGCAGCTACTGTTTAGTAATAAAATAATCTATTATTATCCTGTTAAGTTTTCCAGTAGTGTTCAGTTATTCTAATTTCTTTTGTTGTATTTTAACCAGTGTATGAATAAAGTATTTTTTGCTTAATATCAAGTAGTTTTACCAATCAAACTGCATTTGTAATGCAACACCTTACATTTACCTTTAAAATGAGAAAATGTTAGGGTCTAGACTATCTTAGTATCTTTGAGGGTGTTTAGGCTGGACCATAACATGGGTCAATCTCTGGGTGAAGGGGTTTCTTCCTCTTGGTCCTAAATGGAATACCCTGCATCTTTAGACCGTGACCTTTGTTTCTGGATTTGGAGTCATCAGGAACATCCTTTCTGCACTTACTTGGTCTAGTTCTTTTAGAATTTTTGTTTTCTTTGAGAAACACCCTTCATTCTTCTAAACTGTAGTCTAGTCCTAACTGATTCAATCTCTTCAGACATGAATCCAAGAATCCAGTCTGATAAACCTTTGCTGCACTCCCTCCATAGCTAGAATACTGTTCCTCAGATAAGGAAGCCAAAACAGCTCATAATACTCAAAAGCGTGCTGTCAAGGCAGTTTAGAATTCCAGCAAGATATCCCTGCTCCTCTACTCAAATCCTCTTGCTATGAAGGCCAACGCATGTCTTTTTCACCACCTGTTGCATATGCATACTTATTTTCAGCAACTGAAAATTAATACAGCTAAGGAGTTGCTCTAAGACCCACTCAATCCCCTTCCCAAAAGGAACAAAAGGAAGTTATATTTTGAGCTACAACTCTGCCACCTGTTGTTAGGAGGAGAGGACGTTCTTACAGGATATTGGCCTGACTAAAAGAATTGAAACCACAAGATTCTTGATGTGTTTCACAACTTTAAACAACTTTTCTTACTCATTTTCCAAACAGAAAACTAGTTTATGATCAGATGGTGTTTAAAACAAAAAAAAAAAAAAAAAGCGCAAAAAAAAGAAAAAAAGATCTGTTACACACCTAGTTCCTTGAGTGAGGTGCATTTTTCGACCCGTTTCTGAAGACTTGGCACTATTTATTGGAGGAAATTTGGTACTTGAAGGTTCCAGTGTAGTTACTGGAGCTGTATTAGGTCGGAGGTAAGAAGACATATTTGGCTGTGATTGTATCTTGTGGTTCTCCTGCCCAGGACCTAGAAGATAAGTAACCTTTACAGACCATTAACCAATGAAGTCATGACGTTTGCACAGGTAAAATGTGTTGTGTAGGTGGTTTTTGTGCACATGCGGTGGCATGGTGGTGTTATTTGTGCGTGACATCCAAAGAGCAATTGAAGTGTAGTGAAAATTAGCTGCAGTAATTAGTGTAATAATCAACACGGCTAGTTATTTATAGTCTGTTCACTAATAATTGACTAAATAGGACTAAAGTTTACATGTACAAAATGATTAGCTTTAAATATTTTAACTATATTCATTGTATCGCAACTTCATTGAAAGTACAACATCTCCTGGATCATGCTTTCATTCTTGAGATTTTGGGCTTCGATTCCACAAAAACCAAGGTGGGCTTTTTACTTAAGGCGTATGAAAAGGCACGATTTTGCAAGGTTGATGTCTACTCAAGTACATAATGGTGTTCCTGCAGATACAGCACCCACAGTGGCAAGAGAAATAATAAAGGCACATAGCATATTTACATTTGAAGGAACTGTATTAGAAGCTGCTGTGCTCTATAAATATTTAAACCCTGGCAGAATGTTTAAAACTTTGGGCGTTATAACTTCAGCCCGTCAATGTGGAGAGCCTATGAATAGGAACAGAAAGGAGGAAATTTGGGTGTTAAACTTTCCACTGAGGCCAGGGTATTGAAATGTGAAGGAATAGATGCTGTGCAGAGAAACTGAACCGACGTTGCAAATCAACAGCTTGTCAAAAAACAAAAAGTCTGCTGAGAGGTCACAGAACTAAAAGCATTAATTCTCTTTCCGCAGATGTTACTTACTGTGCTTCCACCATTTTTTGTTTTTATTTCATATCTTGATTTGCTGAATGCTTCGCTTGGAAACACTTGGACACATACTGAGTATTGACATTTATAAGTGTGAGAAGTTACTCAACATTGATCAAGGATACTGGCCAAGCAGCCTGCGTTCAAAAAGGGAAATCCAACAATAAAACACTTTCAGATTAGTAATGAACCTAAACATTAGCTAACTCAAGGCCACAGAAAGAAGCAGAATGGGCAAGTTATCACAGCCTCTAAGGTTTCGGAGTAGATCTGTAGCTCGGGTTGTGGGTGTTGAGGTTGTTGAGGTTGGTTGGCTTGCCGAGCTGGTTTCTTGTTTGGCAGACGTTTCATTACCATGCTTGGTAACATCCTCAGTGCAGCCTCCGATGAAGCGTTGGTGTGTTTTTCCCAACTGGTTTTTAAACTCTGGGGTCCGTTGAGATGGATTGCCTCACTTCCAGGTTTCCTTCATAGTGGAATGTATATGGGGTCGAATTCAATGTGTTTATTAATAGCATGCTTTGTGGAGTGTCATGCTTCCAGGAATTCTTGTGCTTGTCTCTGCCTAGCCTGTCCCAGGATCTTGGTGTTGTCCCAATCGAAGTCGTGGTTCACCTTGTCCATGTGGATTGAGATGAGTATTGGTCGCGTCTTTTTGTAGCCAGTTGGTGTTAAAGACAAAGAGAACAAAGAAAATTACAGCACAGGAACAGGCCCTTTGGACCTCCAAGCCTGTGCCGATCCAGATCCTCTATCTAAACCTGTCGCCTATTTTCCAAGGATCTGTATCCCTCCGCTCCCTGCCCATTCATGTATCTGTTTAGATACATCTTAAATGACGCTATTGTGCCTGCCTCTACCACCTCCGCTGGCAACGCGTTCCAGGCACCCACCACCCTCTGCGTAAAGAACTTTCCACGCATATCTCCCTTAAACTTTTCCCCTCTCACCCTGAAATCGTGACCCCTAGTAATTGAGTCCCCCACTCTGGGAAAAAGCTTCTTGCTATCCAACCTGTCTATACCTCTCATGATTTTGTACACCTCAATCAGGTCCCCCCTCAACCTCCGTCTTTCTAATGTAAATAATCCGAATCTACTCAATCTCTTCATAGCTAGCGCCTTCCAAACCAGGCAACATCCTGGTGAACTTCCTCTGCACCCTCTCCAAAGCATCCACATCCTTTTGGTAATGTGGCGACCAGAACTGTACGCAGTATTCCAAATGTGGTCGAACCAAAGTCCTATACAACTGTAACATGGCCTGCCAACTCTTGTACTCAATACCCCGTCCAATGAATGAAAGCATGCCGTATGCCTTCTTGACCACTCTATCCACTTGCGTTGCCACCTTCAAGGTACAATGGACCTGAACACCCAGATCTCTCTGTGCATCAATTTTCCCCAGGGCTTTTCCATTTACCATATAGGTCGCACTGGAATTGGATCTTCCAAAATGCATGACCTCACATTTGCCCGGATTGAACTCCATCTGCCATTTCTCCGCCCAACTCTCCAATTTATATTCTGCTGCATCCTCCGACAGTCCCCTTCACTACCTGCTACTCCACCAATCCTAGCGTCATCTACAAACTTGCTAATGAGACCATCTATAACTTCCTCCAGATCATTTACGTATATCACAAACAACAGTGGTCCCACCACGTATCCCTGTGGAACACCACTGGTCACAGTTCTCCATTTTGAGAAACTCCCTTCCACTGCAACACTGTCTCCTGTTGCCCAGCCAATTCTCTAATCATCGAGCGAGTACACCCTGGACCCCATGCGACTTCACTTTTTCTATCAGCCTACCATGGGGAACCTTAACAAATGCCTCACTGAAGTCCATGTATATGACATCTACAGCCCTTCCCTCATCTATCAACTTAGAATTCTTTGAGGAAGTGACAATCAATTAGCAATTCTCCAGTCCTCCGGGACCTCACCCGTGCTCAAGGATGCTGCAAAGATATCTGTTAAGGCCCCAGCTATTTCCTCTCTCGCTTCCCTCAGTAACCTGGGATAGATCCCATCCAGACCTGGGGACTTGTCCATCCTAATGCCTTTTAGAATACCCAACACTCTCCCCCCACCTTATGCCGACTTGACCTCGAGTAATCAAACATCTATCCCTAACCACAACATCCGTCGTGTCCCTCTCCTCAGTGAATACCGACGCAAACTACTCATTAAGAATCTCTCATTTTCTGACTCCTCGCATAACTTCCCTCCTTTGTCCTGGATTGGGCCAACCCTTTTTCTAGTTACCCTCTTGCTCCTTATGTATGAATAAAAGGCTTTGGGATTTTCCTTAACCCTGTTTGCTAAAAGATATTTCATGACCCCTTTTAGCCCTCTTAACTCCACATTTCAGATTGGTCCTACTTTCGCGATATTCTTCCAAAGCTTCGTCTGTTTTCAGTTGCCTAGACCTTCTGTATGTTTCCTTTTTCCTCTTTGCTAGTCTCACAATTTCACCTGTCATCAATGGTTCCCTAATCTTGCCCTTTCTATCCCTCAGTTTCACCTGTCATCAATGGTTCCCTAATCTTGCCCTTTCTATCCCTCAGTTTCACAGGGACATGTATGTCCTGCACTCTAATCAACCTCTCTTTAAAAGCCTCCCACATATCAAATGTGGATTTACCCTCAAACAGCTGCTCCCAATCCACATTCCCCAGCTTCTGCCGAATTTTGCTATAGTTGGCCTTCCCTCAGTTCAGCACTCTTCCTTCAGGACCACTCGTCTTTGTCCATGAGTATTCTAAAACTTACGGAATTGTGATCACTATTCCCAAAGTAATCCCCTACTGAAACTTCAACCACATGGACGGGCTCATTCCCCAACACCAGGTCCAGTATGGCCCCTTCCTGAATTAGACTATTTACATACTGCTCTAGAAAACCCTCCTGGATGCTCCTTACAAATTCTGCTCCATCTATCTAAACCCCTAACACTAAGTGAATCCCAGTCAAATGTTGGGAAAATTAAAATCTCCCATCACTACCACCCTGTTGCTCCTATCTTTCCATAATCTGTCTACATATTTGTACCTCTATCTCACGCTCGCTGTTGGGAGGCCTGTAGTACAGCCCCAACATTGTTACTGCACCCTTCCTATTTCTGAGCTCTGCCCATATTGCCTCACTGCTCGAGTCCTCCATAGTGCCCTCCTTCAGCACAGCTGTGATATCCTCTTTGACCAGTAATGCAACTCCTCCACCCCTTTTACCTCCCTCTCTATCCCGCCTGAAGCATCTATATCCTGGAATATTTAGTTGCCAATCTTGCCCTTCCCTCAACCAAGTCTCAGTAATAGCAATAACATCATACTCCCAGGTACTAATCCAAGCCCCAAGTTCATCTGTCTTACCCACTACACTTCTCGCATTAAAACAAATGCGCCTCAGGCCACATGTCCCTCTGCGTTCATCATGTGCTCTCTGCCTACTCTTCCCCTTCGTCACACTGACTTCGTTATCTAGTTCCTTACAGGCTTTAGTTACAACCTCCTTACTGTCCACTAACCTCCTCATTTGGTTCCCATCCCCCTGCCATATTAGTTTAAACCTTCCCCAACAGTGTTAGCAAAAGCACCCCCTAAGACACTGGTTCCAGTCCTGCCCAGGTGTAGACCGTCCGATTTGTAATAGTCCCAGCTCCCCCAGAACCGGTCCCAATGTCCCAAAAATCTGAACCCCTCCCTCCTGCACCATCTCTCAAGCCACTCATTTATCCTGCCTATTCTTTCATTTCTACTCTGACTACCATGTGGCACTAGTAGCAATCCTGAGATTACTACCTCCGAGGTCCTGCTTTTTAAACTTGGCTCCTAACTCCCTAAATTCTGCTTGTAGGACCTTACCCCGTTTCTTACCTATATCATTGGTGCCTATATGCACCATGACAGCTGGCTGTTCACCCTCCCCCTTCAGAACGTCCTGCAGTCGATCCGAGACATCCCTGATCCGTGCACCTGGGAGGCAACATGCGATTCAGGAGTCTCGTTTTCGACCACAGAACCGCCTATCTACTCTCCTTACAATCGAATCCCCTATGACTATAGCCCTTCCACTCTTTTTCCCGCCCTTCTGTACAGCAGAGCCAGCCACAGTGCCATGAACCTGGCTACTGCTGCCTTCCCCTGGTGAGCCATCTCCCCCAGCAGTATCTAAAACGGTGTATACCTGTTTTGGAGGGAGATGACCGCAGGGGACGCCTGCACTGCCTTCCTGTTTTTTTTTTTCTGCCTTTTGGTCACCCATCCCCTTTCTCCCTCAGCGATCCTAATCTGCGGTGTGACCATTTGCTGAACGTGCTAGCCATGACTTCCTCAGCATCGCAGGTGCTCTAAAGTAAGTCCATCTGCAGCTCCAGAGCCATCATGCGGTTTAACAAGAGCTGCAGCTGGACACACTTCCTGCACGTGTCGGGGTCAGGGTCATCAGCCGCATCCCGGAGCTCCCACATGGAGCAAGATGAGCATAACACAGGTCTGGGATCTCCTGCCATTTTTACTTTTAAGGTTAACTTAGTCCTACTATAATATCAAATACTAGCTAAATGAAATGAAAAAAATTTGTACCAAATCACTCTACTTACCAGCACACGATAAAAAAAAAAGAAAATCACTTAGCTTATCAACACAGCAGAGTCCTTTTTTTGGGTCAGAGGAGGGGGGCGGGTGGGAGACACTACACGTGTAGTGTCTTGGGTTTAGCCACTGCCCAAATATATCAGTTCACTCACGTTCCGAGAGCGCAATTCAACCACTCCCACTCAGCTCCGTTGCCGAAATGAAGAACTTACCTCCCGGCAGGCCCCTGGTCCTCACTCTCACTGCTCCCGCTGCTGCTGCAGCAGCCAAAAAAAAAAGGAAGCCGCTGATTGCACGAGGTAAGTTTTTAAACTGTTCATGTACTCTTGTTGTTAGTTTCTTTCCTGGTTGTCCGATGTAGTGTTTCTCGCAGTCTCTGCAGGGGATCTTGTGGATGACATTGGTCCTGTCCATGGTGGGGAGTGGGTCTTTAGTTCGGGTGAGCACTTGTCGTAGAGTTGATGTGGGCTTGTGTGCCACTCTGCTGCCCAGCGGTCGTAGGAGCCTTGTGGTGAGTTCTGACGTAGTCCTGATGTAGGGTGGTGTGATGAGTGTGTCGGGGCGCATAGAATCTTTCTGATGCTGTTTGTGTAGGCATCTTCTGACCCAGTTCTTTGGATATCCATTATCCTTGAACACTTGGAAGAGGTATTCTTCTTCCTCTTGGCGTAGTTCCGTGTTGCTGCCCTTTTAAATAGTGTTCGCACGCAGCTTCGTTTGTGTGATGAGATGGTTACTGTTGAAGTTCAGTACCTGGTCTGTGTGTGTGGCTTTACAGTGTACATTTAAGTTACCACAGTCTAATGAACATTCAATTGGTTGTACATTTTTATTTTAAAAAAGATACTTACTAATGGATGAGGCACTTTGTGGCTTCATTATTTTTGGCCTTTTGCTCTCCACAAAAGGAGTCATGTTCAAAAACTGCTGCTTCAACCACGTTGCTCGTTCCTCTTCAAAACCTTTCCTCTGCAGATAAAAAAAATGGAAAAAATTACAAAATGTCCCTTCCTTAACCTGCAATGCATTCTTTTCACAACTGCCAAATGTACAACAACTTCACAAAATACTTTTGTTAATTTTACATTTTCATCAAACTCATAATGCAAAGAGTTTCCTTTAGTAAAAGATAGATATCAAAACACTACTATTGGAACTGGGAAAGAAAATCCTTGTGCCAACTAAATATCATGCATTGATTTTAAGTAAAATTATTCCATAGTATCTGGCCCTGCTAGCATTGTGGATTCTGCCCTGTTAATAACGAAGCAAATGCAGGAACACAGTTGAGTACAAGTTGCAATTTGTAAATTTTCATATCCACTGTTTCACATCACACGACAGCTAATCTCTTGATTTTTGCTATAGTGTCCAATGGTGTGCACAATGATGCAGAAAAAACAAACACAATTAGGGTAAATGCTCAGATTTGGATTATAACACATCAGTACAAATTGTGTTAAAAAGGGTAGAATATGCAAATGTCTTACTTTGTGACTCCCCACACCATTTCTAACGGTTCAAACTCTAGTCTTGTATTTTGATGTAATACCTTTCACTTGCCTGGATGAGTGCAGCTACAACAAACACTCAAGACGACTGACATCATCCAGGGCAAAGTGGTCTGCCTAAAGTTGAAAGCCCATCACAAAACCAAACAATGGGACCTGAATCTACAATCCCTGGTTTCGGAGGCCAATGCCTTATCCATTCGGTCCCAAATCTTCAATAGTTGACCTCGAAAATGACATGGTTAACTTTGATTTGGCGACTAACTAAAGTAAAACAACTAAAAAGTAGTACCTCGTGTCCTAATCTAATGGCAGCCTCTGTAAAATTCCTTCTTTCTCTTTCAAAGTTTTTCTTCTGGTCATTAAATAGTCTCCATTCTTCTTTCAATCGTTCTTTCTCTTCCAGTAAGTAGCAGTCTCGCACTAATACAGCTGTTTCATCATCACATTGGGGATTAAGCTGTTGCTGTGGAAAGGAAAAGGCAAAAAATAACTTTCCACATTTGGAAACGGATGTTATCAATTCACGGTGATAGGTTCTGATTTTTAAAAATTATTTAAACTCAAAAGCTGTTAAGAACAAAGGATCAAGACGGTTCAGCTACATTTGCAATCTCATAGATGATAAAGCAATCCATGACTATATGCAATAGATCTTTCACAAATTCACTGTGCTGCAAAATTAAACACCAGCCACTCGGCAGGTGTCGAACATAAACACCAAAGTGGATATGTTATACCAGATGGTTGGTTTCGGAAATGTACATTCAATAATCAAGTCTATGGTCAGCTGCCTCATGTTATGACTCCGGGGGGGGGGGGGGAACTGTGTGGTGGTGGAAGAGAGGAAGAGAAGGGAACAGGCACGCACACCCGTAAAATCTCCTGGGGTAAATTTCTAATTGCAGTTACATTCCATTTTGTTCAAAATGCACACAATTTATAGACAGACAGTCAATGTGGCATTTTGGAAATTCCTACTTTGGAAATAAAACCAGTCTGACTCCAAACCAAAACACAAACAAATTCTAAACAAAGCTTCACATCTAACATGCATTGTCTTGACCTAAAATGTCACTTTTCTTTACAATGAAAACCTCTAGCTCTCTCAGGTCAGTGACTTAAGGAATTCAGAGATTTATAAAGGCATTAATCAGTTGGAAGGTTTTAACTGATTAAAGATTTAAACAGCATCTTAGGTTTATTTAATACATGCTCAGTGGTGTGACCCTTTGATCTTTTACTTATAAATTCTGTGTTGGATAGTACCTCTCACTAATACCAGAAGGAGGAGCGAAGCTCTGAAAGTCTGTGTTTTCAAATAAACCTGATTCACCATTGTCTACTCCACTGGTCACATCCTTAAAAAATTCCAAAAGATTTCCTTTAGTGAATCCATGCTGACTAGGACCAATTTGGTCACTGCTTTCCAATTGCTCAGTTATTACATTTAAAGCTTTGGCAAAGATCCGTAGCTCAGGTTGTGGTGAGGTTGTTGACTTGCTCGCTGAGTTGGCTTGTTTTTGTTCAGACGTTTTGTCACCATGCTAGGTGACATCATCAGTGGAGCCTCCGATGAAGCGATGTTATTCTACTCCACTTGGAATTTATACTGACCGGTCCATTATGGTGAGTACTGTCATTTCCGGTTTTGACCTGTATGGGTTTGTATATGGGGTCCAATTCTATGTTTGTTGATTGAAGTATGGGTGGAGAACCATGCCTCTAGGAATTCCTGTGTGTGTCTATGTTTCGCGTGGGCTACTATGGTTACTTTGTCCCAGTTAAACTGATGGCCTTCATTGTCTGAATGTACAGATATTAAGGAGAGTTGATTGTGCCGTTTTGCTAGCTGATGTTCATGTATCCCGTTATTACATGTTTAAAATGAATCACTCCTGCATTTTCCCCACCACTAATGGGTTTCGCCCTCCTGTTTTTTGACGAGAGTGGAGTTACATTAGCTACCCTCCAGTCCATTGGAACTCTTCCAGAGTCTACAAAGCTGGAAAACAATCACCAATGCATCCACTATTTCTAGGGCCACTTCCTTAAGTACTCTGCATCTCAGAGCATCAAGCCCTGGGGACTTACAGGATTTTAATCCCAATTTCCCCAATACCATTTCCTTATTAGTAAGGATTTCTTTCAGTTCCTCCTTCATACTTGACCCTGTCCTCTAACATTTCCTGAAGATTATATGTCCTCCTCAGTAAGGTCAGATCCAAAGTATTTGTTCAACTGGTCTGCCATCTCTGTTATCCATCATCAATTTGCCTGATTCTAATTGCAAAGGATCTACATTTGTCTTCAGTCTTTTGTTTCACATATCTATAGAGGCTTTTGCAGGCAGTTTTTAATGTTTTCTGCAAGCTTACTTCCATGTTTAATTTCCCTTTCCAAATTAAACCCTTGGTCCGTTTCTGCTGAATTTTAAATTCCAGCCAGTCTTCAGGTTTGTTGCTTTTTCTGGCCAATTTATGTGCCTCCTCTTTGGCTTTAACCTGTTCCTGATTTCCCTTGTTAGCCATGGTTCAGCCACCTTCCCGGTTTTCCTCTTACACCAGACAGGGATGTATAATTGTCGAAGTTCATCCATGTTTTCTTTAAATGTCTGCCATTGCCTATCCACCATCAACCCTTTAAGTATTCTTGGCCAGCTTATCCCAGCCAATGCATGCCTCACACTAAAGTTAGCTGCAAGTTCAGGATCCTACTTTCAGATTTAATTGTGTCACTCTCCATCTCGAAGAATGTTACCATATTAGGTCACTCTTTCCCAAAAGGATCTCATACCACAATTTTGCGAATTAATCCTCTTGTTACACAATACCCAGTATAGGTGTACACAACTCCCACTCACGTCTTTTTCCATTTGGTGTTCTGCAGCTCCACTCATACCAATTCCACATCGTCCAGGCTAATGTCCAGCCTTACTATTATGTTAATCTCATCCGTAACTAGCAACACTACTCCACCTCTCTTTTGTTTCTGTCGGTCTTTCCTGAAAATTGAATAAACCTGGCTGTTCAGTTACCATCCTTGGTCACCCTGGAGCCAGGTTGCTGTAATGCCAATTACATCATATCCATTATGAACTGTTTGTGCAGTTAATACATCCACCTTATTACAAATGCTGCTTGTATAGAGGTACATGGGCCTTCAAGATACAGTGATCATGAGGAATTTTTTTTTTTTTTTTGAATTCATTCATGGGATGAGGGAGTCACTGGCCAGGCAGCATTCGTTGCCCATCCCCAATTGCCCAGAGGGCAGTTCAGAGTCAACCACATTGCTGTGGGTCTGGAGTCACATGTCAGCCAGACCAAGTAAGGATGGCAGTTTCCTTCCCTCAAGGACATTACTGAACCAAATGGGTTTTTCCTGACAATCGATTCATGGTCATTAGATTCTTAATTCCAGATATTTATTGAATTCAAATTTCACCATCTGCCGTGGCGGGATTCGAACCAGAGTCCCCAGAACAATACGAGAGTCTCTGGATTAACAGTCCAGTGATAATACCACTAGGCCATCGCCTTCCCCCTAAATGGCAGATCTAGAAATCAGCTTTAAATCGGGCTGAATGGACCAAACGGTGTGTACCTGCTTCCATGTCCTTACTTCAAAAAGAATGTAATTGGCTGCGAAAGGTTTTGAGATTTCAAAAGGTCATGGAAGACATCACAAAGACCTGTATTTATTTTACATACTCTATACCTAAGGCACTATTTGATCGCTGCTGCTCACTGCTGGGTTTACAGTTACTACACAGTTGGTAACAGAGCATGGTGTTGACTCGCTCAGAGATAGCGAGAACTGTAGATGCTGGAGTCAGAGATAACGGTGTGGAGCTGGAGGAACACAGCAGGCCAGGCAGCATCAGAGAAGCAGTAAAGTTGATGTTTCGGGTCAGGACCCTTCTTCAGAAATGGGGAGGGGGAAGGGAGCTCAAAAATAAATAAAGAGAAAGACAGGAGGGGTGGGGCTGGGGAAGATAGGTGGAATGGCGATAGGCGAGTGCAGGTAGGCAGTGGCGGATTTTGGTCAGTGAGGTGGGAGGGGCAGACAGGAGGAAGAGAAGATGGACAGGTGGTGTCAGGTCAAGGAGGCAGGGATGAGAGGGAGGGTTAGTCATGGGATGAGGCTGGGAGTGGGGAGATTTTGAAACTGGTAAAATCCGCATTTAGGCCATTGGGCTGGAGGTTCCTGAAGCGGAATACGAGGTGCTGATCCTCCAATTTGCGGGTGGTGTCATGGCCCAGGATGGACATGCTGCCCAGGGAGTGGGGGGTTAAAACGGTTGGTGACCAGAAGGTGTTGTCTTTTGTCACGAACAGAGCGCAGATGGTGTACAAAATGGTCTCCGAGTTTCCACCTGGTCTCACTGATACAGTGGAGACCACATTGGGAACAGCGGATGCAGTAGACCAAGTTGACGGAGGTGCAGGTGAACCCGTCTAATGTAGAATGTTTGTTTTGTGCCTATGCGGGGGATGGTGGGGGGAGGCGGGGTTTGCGAAGAGCAGGTGTAGCACTTCCTGCAGTTGCAGGGAAAGGTGCTGGGGCTGGTGGGGAGTGTGGAGCCGATGGGGGAGGGGGTCGTGGAGAGACCAGTCCCTATGAAAGACAGATAGGGGTGGGAGGGAAATTCTCTTTGTCCTGGTGTCAGATTGTAGGTGATGGAGAATGATATATTGGATGCGGAGGTTGGTGGGGTGATGGGTGAGGACAAGGGGGATTCTGTCTTTATTTTTGTTGGGGCGGAGGGGATGAGAGAGCAGAGGTGCAGGAAACGCAAGAGATGTGATTGACGGCATTTTTCAATTACAAAAAGAAGGGGGTGGGGGGGAAGAGGGGGGGAAATGTTACAGTCATCTCTCAAACCATTCATAACCTCATCGCCTCAGGTGACCTCCCACCCACAGCCTCAAACCTCATTTGTTTCCAACCCCACACTGCCCGTTTCTATCTCCTTCCCAAAATCCACAAACCTGATTGCCCCAACCAACCCATTGTCTCTGCCTACTCCTGACTCACTGAACTCCTCTCCTCTTACCTTGACTCCATTTATCCCTCCTGGTCCAGGAACTCTCCACCTACATCTGGTACACCAGCCATGCCCTCCACCTCCAAGACTTCCAAATTCCTGGCCTCCAATACCTCATCTTCACTATCCAATCACCTCATCGTCTCCTATCACTATCTTCACCTTATCCAATGCCCCATGCAGATGGCCTAAAAGCCCTCCAATTCTTCCTCTCCTGCAGGCCCTACCAGTCCCTCTTCACTGACACCCTCATCCACTTAACCAAACTCGTCCTTACCCTTACCAACTTCTCCTTTAGCTCCTCCCACTTTCTACAGACTAAGGGGGTGGCCATGGGAACCCGCATGGGCCCAAGCTATGCCTGCCTCTTTGTAGGATACATGGAACAGTCCCTCTTTCGCTGCTACACTGGCACTAGCCCCCACCTCTCCCTCCGCTACATTGACGACTGTTTTGGCGCTGCCTCGTGCTCCCATGAGGAACTTTCCTAACATCTTTCACCCCAACCTCAAATTCACCTGGACCATCTCCAATACGTCCTTCTCCTTCCTGGACCCTCTGTCTCCACCTCTGGTTACTGCATCGAAACAGCTATTTCAAGCCCACCAACTCCCACAGCTACCTAGACTACACCCTCCTCTCACCCCTTCCTGCAAAAATGCAATCCCCTACTCCCAATTCTTCCGCCTCTGCTGCGTCTGCTCCCATGATGGGGCATTCCACATCCCAAATGTCCTCATGTTTCAAGGACCGCTACTTCCCCCCCTCCGGTGATTGAAAATGCTTTCAACTGCATCTCTTGCATTTCCTGCACCACTGCCCTCACATCCCCTCCCCGCAACAAAAATAAAGACAGAATCCCCCTTGTTTTCACGTATCACCCCACCAACCGCCGCATCCAACGAATCATTCTTCACCACTTCTGCCACCTACAATCTGACCCCACAACCAAAGATATATTTCCCACCCCACCCCTGCCTTTTGTAGGGACCGCTCTCTGACTCCCTCGTCTGCTCCACACACCCCATTAACCCCACGACCCCGGCACCTTTTCTGCAACCGCAGGAAGTGCTACACCTCCCCTCCATTCAAGGCACAAAAGACACATTAGACATGGGTTCACCTGCACATCCGTCAATGTGGTCAACTGCATCCGCTGCTCCCGATGTGGCCTCCGCTACATTGGAGGGATCAAGTGGAGGCTCGGACACTGCTTTGTACAGCATCTGCATTGTTTGCAACAAACGACAACACTTTCTGGTCACCAACCATTTTAACTCCCCCTCCCACTCCCTGGGTGACATGTCCATCCTGGGCTGCTCCAGTGTCACAATGACGCCACCTGCAAACTGGAGGACCAGCACCTCCTATTCCGCCTGGGGAGCCTGCACCTGATGGCCTAAACATGGAATGAGGCGGGGGGGTGGGGTGATTTTAAAACTGGTGAATTCTATGACCAAACATCCCTCTCATCCCTGCCTCTCCGACTGACACAATCTGTCCATCTTCTCCTCCCACCTCACTGATCAATCCCCACCACTGCCTATCTGCACTCACCGATCATCATTCCACCTACCTTCCCCAGCCCCAGTCCCACCCCTCCTCTCTATTTCTGAGCTCCTTTTCCACCCCTCCTCCCCATTTCGGAAGGGTCCCAAACCAAAACATCAACTTTCCTGCTCCTCTGACTGCTGCCTGGTTTGCTGTGTTCCTCCAGCTCCACACTGTTATCTTATGGTCTTGACTCACTTGAGTCAATTATTTTAAAAATCAAACCTTACCTGTAACAACTGTTGCTGAGCTTTGATCACATCCCTGCACTGCTGAATTTCTATTTTCAGCTTCTCAATTTCTTGCACATGATCATCTTTGTTGATAATGTCACCACTTTCATGAAAACTGCAGTTTACTAAGGATGCTGCAATAAATGCAATTCAGCCCATCAGAATTTCATGAATTGAATGTAAAACAGATCATACAACAGAAAGTGCTTAATAACAGGGCTTTGTATTTTCCACATATTTATAAAAAGCAATCATGGCTTGGGAACTTAAGAAAGACTCCTACTTTATAGATATTTGCTGTGGTTGGCTTGCTCACCGAACTGGTTCATTAGTTAGCTGTGTAATGAAAGGTCTGCGAACTAATGAACCAGCTCGGCGAGCAAGCAAACCAAACCAAACACAACACAGCATCCACAAGCTGAGCTACACTGGCACGAACGCCCACCTCTCCCTCTGCTACATTGATAACTGTATCAGCGCTGCCTCGAGCTACAAATCTACTCAAGAACCTTTATGGATGTTTCTTGGTAATAGGAGACAGTGCTGTTGTGGCTGCACACTCTTGTAGAGTGGAATGAGAGGTAGTGATCTCATTGAAATATATGGGATGCTTAAGGGGCTTGACAGGGTTAAATGCTGAGAGGATGTCTCTCCTCATAGGAGTTTTAGGACCAGAGGGCATTGTTTCAGAATATAGGGATGTTAATTTAAGACTAAAATCCAGAGGAATTTCTTCGGAGGGTTGAGTGTCTTTGGAAATGCTTGCCACAGTTGCAGGATCACAGTCCTTGGGTATATATTTAAAGGTTGAAATAGATTGGATTCCCGACCAAACAAGAATCTGAGTTACAGGTAAAAATGCAGGAAAGTGGTTATGACGAATGCCGGTCAGATTAACCATGATCTTATTAAATGGGGCCAAATGGTCTACTCTCATTCCTATTTCTTATGGACTACTAGATTGGCATCACTTAGCTGGAACTAATCTTTAAATTTATTCTTGCATGGAGGAGAGTCACTTGAAAGGCCAGTATTTGTTGCCTAACCATAACTGCCCTTGGAGTAGGTTGCTTGGCCATTTCAAAAGGGCAGTTAAGAGTCAACCAAAATGCTTAGCGTCTGCAGTCACATTAGGCCCAGCTGGGCCTAAAGGAAATGCGAATTAGTTAGATGACAAATTGATGATAGTGAGCATGAAACTGTCACTGAACCCAATTTTCAATCCCATATTTTAAATTAATGGATTTTAGATTCAACTAGCTGCTATCATGGAATTTGAACATGTCTCCCATAGCATTAGTTTGGGCCTCTGGAATGCTAGTGTACTGACATTACCACCACACCATTTAGCCAGCACTATTAATCTATGAATATTTTCAATTTTTAGATGTCCTCAAAACCAACAAAATGAAAACAGTAAATTTAATTCAATGCAATAACTTAGACCAAGGGTTATCCAAACAACATCAATGGGTTGCATATGCATGCCAGGCCTTTCACTGTGGTAAATAATTACATCTGTACTTTATTCCTTGCTATTTATTTGGTTCACTTGAAATTTCTTGATTTGGAACTGAGTTTATTAGCAGTTTCTTTACAGCCCACAAAATGCCATGGCACTCACCAGACCAATACAACTGGGGGGAGGCAATGGCCTAGTGGTCTTGGGGTAGCACACTGGCTCAGTGGTTAGCACTACTGCCTCAGTGCCAGGGGCCTGGGTTTGATTCAATCCTTGGGCGACTGTCTGTGGAGTTTGTACATTCTCAGTGTCTGTGTGGGTTTCCTCCAGGTGCTCTGATTTCTGCCCACAGTCCAAAGATGTTCAGTTTAAGTGGGTTGGCCATGCTAAAAATTTCCCCATACTGTCCAGGGACATGTAGGTTAGGTGGATTAGCCATGAGAAATGCAGGGTTACAGGTGAGTCAGGGTCAGTGTGGACACAATGGGCTGAATGCCCTTCTTCTACACTGTAGGGATTCTATGGAACTGGAGGAGATGATGGTGTTGTAGTGATGTAATATGCCTAGTAATCCAGAGGCTCAAATAAATGCTCACCGAGGACACTGGGATCAAATCCTACTACAGTAGTTGATGGAACATAAATAACATTTGTTACCATTATTGCAATGGTGAAACTAACAATTGCTATAGGAACCCACATGATTCATGAATGCCCTTTAGAGAAGAACATCTGCCATCTTCACTTAGACTGGTCTGCATACAACTCCAGGCATGGCAACATAGGGCAGTTAAAACAGACTAACAAGCCATTCGTGCCAAGGGTAACTGGGGATAGGCAATGAATCCTGGCCTTGTCAGTGAGGTTTGCATCTTAAAAGAATATTAAAAAAAAAGTGTGAGACTCTCAAAACAGACTGCTTACTGCTGCCCTGGACAATTCAATTACAAACAAGTCAAAAATCATACCTTGAGTGTCCAGTTTCTCAACATGGCTTTTCAGCATTCTCCACTGTTGCCGAATACTGTTTGTGAGTTGTTCCCGGACTACATCACACGAAAGCTCCAAGTTATTTTCTTTGTTTGATTCATGAGAATCCTCTTCATTGTCAGACCCTGCCTGAGAAATCAAAAGCTGAGAAAGAAACTGCTCCTTGCTTTAAAACAAACACATCCTTCCACATGAAATCAAGACTTCCATTTCCCAACAATAGAAAGCATTTTAATGTCTTTTCCAAAAATATATGTTATATATATTGGATCGTTTAGAGATGTTTTTATTAAACTGCTATCACCGAGTGTGGTAAATCTTTTCAATGCACTCAGTTAAATCACCAGCCATTCCCTCCCTATCACCTGGTTAAAAAATTCCCAAAATATGTTTAACGCTGTGGATTTGTCTATTATGGACTGAAGCGGGTCAAGATAGCAGCTGATCATCATTTTCAAGGACAACTGGATTCAGAAAACAAGTACAAACATGGCACCCACCTCTCATGAATAGTAAATAAAAAAAGTAGTCACAGGTAGATTCAAAGTCAATACCACCAGTGGGTTAGAGGGAATATGTATTTTGGCTATCTTGCTCAGCAGTTCTTTGAATGAGAGAGGGGAGGAAAAATTTGGGAAAAAAACTTTAGGTCTTGTGAAATAATCAAAAAAACAAATAAAGATCAAATTCACGTTATAATCTTTATGAACCAAGCATGCTCCAACAATTAGTCCAGGCAGCAATGAATCACACAACAGCTGGGAAGCTAATGTATGACCAGTCTATACATCAGAATGCCAGCTGTTCTTATGACTTCAAGGCTAATTGCTCAGTCAAGTAAAGTAACCCACCACTTGAAGAGTAAGCAGTTCAGAACAACAAGGTTTTGATACTGCCTTGCTCTGCTGGTTCCAATATTCAGTGGAAAATCTGAGAAGGAGAGTGGCAAACTAGCAATTCCATGGTTAAAGTCAAATTTTATCTTCTCTGAAGACCCATTAACCTTTGGATGTCTTCACTGCTAGAACATCTTTGGAGGTCACTCCATTCTGTTTACTTAAGAGTTTAGATCAGACTTCTAGCAGTAGCTCAAATCCCACACTCTCGCTGTGGTGAAACAATTGCCACTTCTACACTGGCATGTGACTAACCAGAACATTATGACAGCTATGAAACCAAACTGCTGCATATTTTGAAGTGACAACAAATGAAAAAAAGACACATCCAAAATCAGGGCATTTATTTCCTAAAATAAAATGGAGGCCTACAGATGCTGGAGATTCTGATACAAACAAAAACAGAAGTTGCTGTAGAAATGCAGCAGGACTGGCAGCATCTGAAGAACTGCTTCTTGTATGGTTTCCTTTTTCAGTTTCTCAATTGCCTTTGCTTCCGTTCTGTGATGGTATTTTCTGCAGGGATCTTTGGAAACATCCACTATTTCTCCTCAACCAAGGATTCCCTGCCATCATGGTTGACAGGGCCCTTGGCCATGTCTGATCCATTTCCTTCACTTCTCTTCCCTCCCACAAGAAAGGGTCCCCCTAGTTTTCAATTTCCACCCCAACGGCCTCCCAGTTCTGAAGGGTCGCTGAACTCGAACTGTTAATTCCATTTTCTCTTTACAGAAGTGCCAAACCTGCCGAGTTTCTCCAGCAATGTTTTTGATTTAAAATTTGTTGGTTGTTCCGTATCAAGTAGGTGAAGAGTTAGGCATCATTGAAAAAGTTAAGTCATTACAAGTGGGGCTATGTCACTGGACGACGAATAATCTGAGAATCCCATCATGGCAGCTGATAGAATTCGAATTCTAATAATAAAATCAGATATTACAAGTCAGTGTCAATAACAAGGCCATAGATTGTAAAAACTCAGCTGGTTACCAAATGACCTTTGACAAGGGTAAAGGCAAAGGCAGTCTGCTATCCTTAACTGATCTGGACTACAACTGACTCCAGACCAACAGTAATGTTGTTGTCTCTTCACTGCCCTCAAACAGCCAATCGAACCGAGTTAGGGATGGCCTCGCCAATGATGTCCACATCCTAAAGAATGACTTCGAAAAATTAGGGAAAGAAAAAATAAAAAGCAAAACAAAATTTCACTGGTTTCAGAACTCATTTCTATCAACCATGAAGGAGAGAGAGGAAATTGAAGGGATTGAACAAAAAGCAATGTGTTGTCACATAGCTTAGTCGGAACATCCAACTTTTAAAATTGAGGAAAATGCATGAACACTCGTATTTAATTTATATGACAGAGTGCAGGAGGTACTCAACACTGCTGTACAATTTGGTGCCATGGCAAAATTGGCAAGATGAACTGTTAGCCCTCATCAGGAGAAATAATAGGAGAAATACTCCTTAAAATGGTATAAAGTACAAGTCACCTCTGATTAGATTTACACATTCAACAAAAATACAAGAGTTGGTTATGGATCTGTAGCTTACAGTAAAAGATGAAGATTGATACACAAGATCATTAAATTGAACAATAAATAAAAATAACAATATTCAGATCGAATTTTCAGTAGTAAACTAGTTTGCAGGATCATATAACAAAAAAGTTGCGGTTTTATACTAAAATTTTGAATACACTAACAATAAATATTGTGAAACTCACTATACCACTGCTATCTTCTAGGTGTTCTTTTGGTCTCTGCTTTATGCGGCTAAGAATAGACATCATATCTTTCTTCATCTGCTGTAGAACTTGCTTCAGTTCAATATTTTCCAGCATCAGTTCTTTATGGTGCCTTTCATAGTTGTTTATAAGAGATTTGTACATTTCCCCTTCATTCCTGCATTTTTGGGAGAAACACAAGAATTATTGCCCTATGGCTTATAGAACAGGCTCACTGGCACACATCTGCACAACCACGAAACTTTTCTAAATTAAGCCCATCTGCCCCGTTGCTACCGCACCTGCTTCTACCACATTTCCTGGCAGTACATTCATGCACCTAACATCCACCGCATAAAAAAAAAACTTGCCTCCCACATCACCTTTAAAATGTTTCCCCTCTCACGTTAAACCCATGTCCTCTAGTATTTGACATTTCCACACAAGGGAAAACAAAAAAATTTCTAACTATCTACCCGACCAGGACTTAAATTTTATATTCTTCCATCAGGTTGCTCCCGCAGCCTCTGACCCTCTAGCGAAAACAATCCAAGTTTGTCCAATCTCCCCTTATAGCTAATACACTCCAAACCAGACAATGTTCTGTTAAGATATAGCAAGAACTGCTGATTCTGGAGTCAGAGATAACAGTGTGGAGCTGGAGGACACAGCAGGCCTGGCTGCTGTGTTCCTCCAACATTCTGGCAGACCCCTGTCGCACCTTCTCCAGCGCCTCGACATTCCTTTCTAAGTGTGGCAACCAGAATGCACACAATACTTCAAATGTAACTTAACTAAAGTTTTATACAGGTGCAACGTGACTTGTCAACTTTTACACTCAATGCCCTGACAGATGAAGCAAGCATGCTGTATACCTTCTCTACCACCGTATCCACTTGTGTTGCCACCTTCAGGGAGCTACGGACTTGCATCCCAAGGTCCTTCTGTACATCAATGCCCTTAACTGTATATTTTGCTCTTGCATTTTAGGAAGTCAATGTATCACCTCACTTGCCTGGATTAAACTCCATCTGCTGTTTCTCCACCCAACTTTCCAACTGTTCTATAGCCTCCTGAATTCTTTGACAACATTCCTCACTATTCATAACTCCACTAATTTTCATGTCTTTGCAGAGGGAAATTGTGAAATTGTATTTGTGGGCTACAGTATGAAACAGGAGACAAATTGATTTGGTAAAACAACTTCACAGTACCTGGCTTCGGTTTTCCCAGTCCTCCATGCACTACGCCGGCCATCAGACCGACCCACATAATTCAGAATGTCAATACCTTTAAGAATTTTTGAAAAGGTAAAAGTCAGGAATGGATTTAAATGCAGAGAACTTACAAATACTACCAACGTTCTTCCAGCCACTTCAATTGAAAGAGTATGGATCTAGTCGATTTCACTTATGAAATACCTGCTTATGACAAATCAAATTAGTCTGACCATGACTTACACTCTCGGTACGGCACTTTCTTCACCTCGTAACAGCAATAACATCTGGCAGAGGACTATTCTAGTTGGGCCATCCTATACTGCTGGATTTACACTATAGCATTAAATTAAAATTATTCCTTTAAAACATCTTGTTGTTTTGAGAGATTCATTTCTAAATGCTATTTGCATTAACTTGGTTAGCCCAGCAGATGGCACTAAGTGCAGAGCAGATAAATTGGACTAGAAATACAAAGTGCAAAGTTAGGGAACAGGAATATGCCCATTAACCAAAAAAAACACTATCCAGAGTGGTGACCAAGGCTTCAAAATACATTTTTACATAAACCGCAAATATTGGTACAAATCTCATACTATCCCTACAAAATTTTGCTTTAAAATTAATCTTGGTAACCCCTACAGACACAAATCACTTTTCAACTAAAGAGATGTGGAGTTGTGGGATCATCTGTGTAACAGCACTAAGGGCCACTGTAAGAGAAAAGCTTCAGAAACAGAAGGTTTGAGGTTTCAAGGTTGTTAAAAACACATTTATGGAATACATATCAAGGAATACATGTTAGAGAATAAGGAAGCTTATTCCTGAAGCTTAAGTAGCTTCTTTTTAGGGTCTCAAGAAGAGACATTAACTAAAGAAACAGATTAGTGCTTATGTATTGCTAATTAGAAACCAATTATAGTCATGGCTGCTGAACAAGGAACTTTAAAAAAAAATCAGAGATTGGGGACTATCCTTCATTGTGGGTTGAGTGCCAGAACGGTATTGTTGAATAAATCTTTGATGTTTGCAAGGAGTCTATTACAAATAGTTTCCTATAGTGCAACATGGTTTGTGTTGGTCTTCAGTGCAAACAACTCATTCTCTTGTTAAAGTACATTGGTGACCTCTTATGAATATGTTCAAATGACAGTACTCCATGGTAAATCAATTACAAAAACAACAACTTATGGCCTATCAAACCAAACTGCACTCTGCTATTTAACTAGTCTGGTATTGCCATCAGCTGGCATTGTAACACCAGTAAACAGTTTGTGGTGCGAAGAGCTAAACTACATTGCAGACTTTATCTCATGGATTTTAAAGGCAGTATTTGTAACAGTAAAATCATGGAGAATCATGCAATTAGTTGAGCCTTTCTAAAATTATCATGACACTTCATTCCAGTATTGTTGCATATCACCTGCATCATTACTAATCAGTGGCGCTTCTCAAGAAGAAAGGCAACAGGTACAGCAAGGAAATAGGATACACCAGGATCACTGCACACTAAGTTATTAAAAGCAATCCATTTGGCAATAACGTAGAGCATTGGGTCCAGTTGCCCCAACATTTCACGAACATACGTGATGAAATCCTCCACCAACACAAACAGCCCAAAGATTGTATAATCCCAGGAACACTTACATAGCTTTTTATCTTTTTTATCCATCACGAGTTGGTGCAAGCGTTCTTTCAGTTTATTGTACTCTCGTTCCTTTCTCTTCAAGTCATGATTGTATTGAGTAGCTCGACTTGCTATTATATTTTGTAATTTTTGTGTCTAAAAACAAAGTGCAACAAATTCAGTAATTTAAAAATTCTAAACTGTTTAGTTTGTGATCAAGAGTCTTAAAGTATTTGTGATAAATATTCAAAAACTAGTTTACACCACCACCTTTGGAAACCAAAAGAAAATCCACAATACTTGACAAATTGAAATACAATACGAAGTTTCAGGCAATTTCAGTATGGAGAATATCCTACTTCACTAAAATCTCTGAATTAATAAAAGGGTCTAATCCAAACTCTAATCAGGGCACTTTCCATCCCTAGTTCTTGAAGTCCAGGTACTTCAAATCAAAAATTTCTTGGATAGGTTTTAGCACACTAGTACAAAATTCAGTACATATGCTCAATGGAAATTCAACAGATCAGTGAAAACACTTTAGCGAAAAGGTGGAAGGCAGCTAGTTGACTTAAAGAGTAGTGCACTAGTAGGAATAACTTCAAAAGCACAGTAATAAAAACCTGTTCACAATTTGACACTGTACTGGAGTTTAATATTTTTCAACATTAGAGTTCATATTATAGGGTCAAAACAAGAACTGCTGTCCAAAGTGAGATTTTAGCATGCTCTTATTTAGATGTAAAGGAGTCAGTGCTAAGTAGTAAGTAAGAGACTGAATAAAATAGAAAGACAAAAAAGGGAGAAACTCAGGAAAACACAAAGAGGAAGCAATTGCTTTTAAATTATATTTTAATCACCTCCCAAGAATGTCTGAAAGTGCTTCATGAACATGCATCAAATTTGAATGAGAGAATGGAATCAAAAGAATCATTACAGTGCAGAAAGAGGCCATCTGGCCCACTGAGTCTGCACCACCCTCCAAAGAGCATCCCACCCAGACCCACCACCCCATCCTACCCCTAACACCACATTTACCATGGCTGATCCACAGTCCAAAGATCTGCAGATTGGGTGTGAGGAACCAGAGCACCTAGGGGAAACCCATACAGACACAGGGACAAAAGTCCAGACTCCACAATGACAATCACCTGAGGCTGGAATTGAACCTGGGTTCCCTGTTCTGAGGCAGTAGGGCTAGCTACTGTGCTGCCCAAACTTTGCACTTAACAAGGACCAAGCAAATGAGAGAATGACAAGACATGTTTGATGTACAATGCTGGTTTAGGCAAATGGAGTTATTCAAATAGTGATACAGGATCTTTGAAATTCACTGGCACAGGTAGACTGGATCTCACCATCTTTCAGGTGGAGTGATAAAAGTTTCTCTAACTTTGCAGCATTTACTCTGCTCTGCAATGAATAAAATTAAAGATTGCTTTAATAGTTTAGATTTTCCTTGACTTAACAGACAGTAATTTTAGAAGGAAAGCTAGTTCAAAAATCAACCTAAATCAAGGTGGCAATTTCACTAGCAATATTCTGATTTTGGAAGACATTCTACGTACCCGTTCATTAAAGTTAAAAAAAAAAAGGACAACTCTTTTCCAAGTCAAAAATGTATAAAAAAAGAACCAGATGAACTGTTAAATGAATTTCTCTACTTGAACTGATTTTTTTTTTTTAAAACTTGCTTTAAAATTGACAAGATCAGGTAAGAAATTCTGGCAGAATAATAAAACGATCAAGAAATTAAGATAAGACCAAAATAATTGCAGATGCTGTAAAATCAAACAAAAAACAAATTGCCAGAAAAGCTCAGCAGGTCTGGCAGCATCTGTGGAGAGAAATCAGAGTTAACGTTTCAGGTAAACTGTATGGAATTAAGGTACTTTTTGTTTTACTTGGTACACATTTTTAAGTGTTTACCTCCTCCTTTTCATTCTTTAGTAAGCCATGTAAAGTTCTGTTCTTCAACTGTAGTTGTCTGTCTTTTTCCTGAAGAGCTATAACTTCTCTACGAGATAATTCCAGTTGATCCTATGAATATTCAAAATGGATTATTCAAAACCCCAAGAGAGTCATCTCTATCACTTAAAATGTTACAGCACATCAACTTGCAAAGCAAGTGTTAAGCATGTGCACATCATAAATCGCTAGTTCATGGTCTTGACAACTAAAATCCTACTTGGCATTTGAGCTTAACCTGCTCAACTGGAAGACAAGTAATTTCCTCTCTTTCCACACCCCTCTTGCAAACAGAAGTTGAAAAAGGCAGAGATAACAAGGCATAGAGCTGGATGAACACAGCAGGCCAAGCAGCATCAGAGGAGCAGGAAAGCTGACGTTTTGGGCCTAGACCCTTCTTCAGAAAAAAGGAAGTTGACATTTAAGTATGGGATCAATATCCCTCTCAGTTAAAAGTCTTTGTAAGCTATCACCAATGGAACCGGGTGGGGTGTGTCAAAGATCATAGGAAAAAGGACTGCCCCAGCTTTTAAAAGAAAAAGCTACACTTTGTGGGAACTACATATGAGAGGCAGTTCTGTTTGGTCATTAAGGAGCATGTTCAAGCTCAACTCATGTATTTCAGTTACCTTCAATAAAATGACTAACAGCAAAATAGTGTTAAGGTGGGTTACTCATATTGCCTCTTACCTTTAGTTTAACTTGGCTGTGGTACAAATGATCCATATCACTACTGGATTTCAGGTTTTGTGTTTCCATATCTTCTAACGCACGAAGACTTTTGCGATGAAGTTGAAGCAGGTCATACATGCAATTTAGAATGGCCTCCAAGTTTAGTTCTTTCTGTGTGCTGTCTTCAGCGTAAAAAGATGGAAATCCCAATGCAGTGAGTTCCTAAAATATTGAAGAAATATTTTTAACAAAGCTACATATAGTGTGGTAAATTTTAAAATAGTATGGAGCTGATTTTACAGGGTGCCATGGCATTCACAGCCCCCTCAAATCAAAGATCTGGGGGAGATATTGCCCATTACCTCAACAGGTGCCCGATTTCAATGCACCTCAAGGGGCTGAGATGGCACTCAAAAGAACCTTGCTTAGGCTGGCAAAGCTAAAATTACTGATTTGAGTGTGGGTTGGGAGTGGGAAATGATTTTTTTAATTAGCCACTGATTGACCACTTCAGGCCCACAAGACCTACAGGAATTTAGGCATCTATAATTTCCCCTGCATGTTTGTACTGACAGCCTAGGGGTTTTATCAGTCGACTAATAATCCAGAGACTAGGTAATGTTCTGGGGCCCCGAGTTCAAATCCTGCTACAGCAGTTGGAACCGGAGTTCATTATACAAAAAAAATGGAATTAAGTCTACCGGCGCCCACAAACATAGAACATAGAACAGTACAGGCCCTTCAGCCCACGATGTTGTGCCGAACTTTTACCCTAAACCTGAGGTCTATCTAACCTCCACCCCTACCTTACACTATCATCCATATGCCTATCTAATGGCCGCTTAAATGCCCCCAACGAATCCAACTCCATTGCCCTCTCCGGCAATGCATTCCACGCCCCTACCACTCGGAGTAAAGAACCTACCTTTGACATCACCCCTGTATCTACCTCCACTCACTTTAAAACTATGTCCCCTTGTAATAGCTCCCTCCACCCCAGGAAAGAGTCTCTGGCTGTCCACTCTATCTATACCTCTGATCATTTTGTACACCTCTATCAAGTCACTTCTCATCCTTGGTCATTCTAAAGAGAAAAGCCCTAGCTCTCTCAACCTTTTCTCCCAAGACCTTCCCTCCATTCCAGGCAACATCCTGGTAAATCTCCTCTGCACTTTTTCCAATGTTTCCACATCTTTCCTGAAATGAGTCGACCGGAACTGGACACCATACTCCAGATGTGGCCGAAACAGGGTTTTGTATAGCTGGAGCATAACTTCACCACCCTTGAACTCAATCCCTCTGTTAACGAAAGCTAACACACCTTACGCCTTCTTAACAACTCTATCCACCTGGGTGGCAGCTTTCAGGGAACTGTGGGATGAACTCCCAAGATCCCTCTGCTCCTCCACACTGCTAAGAATCTTTCCTTTAACCCTGTATTCTGCTTTCAAATTTGTCCTTCCAAAATGAATCACCTCACACTTTTCAGGGTTAATCTCCATCTGCCACTTCTCAGCCCAGCTCTGCATCCTATCAATGTCCCTTTGTAACCTAGAACAGCCCTCCGCACTATCCACAACTCAACCCACCTTCGTATCGCCTGCGAACTTACTAATCCATCCTTTCATGCCTACATCCAAATCATTTACAAAAATCACAAATAGAAGAGGAAAGAGAATAGATCCTTGTGGTACACCACTCGTAACTGAGCATGATGTTGAATATTTCCCGTCCACTACCACCCTTTGTCTTCGAAGGGTCAGCCAATTTGGATTCCAATCTGCCACATTTCCCCCTATCCCCTGCCTCCTTACCTTCTGCATGAGCCTATCATGGGGAACCTTATCAAATGCCTTACATAAATCCATGTATACCACATCCACTGCTCTACCTTCATCCAAGTGTTTGGTCACCTCTTCAAAAGAATTCAATAAGGTTTGAGAGGCATGATCTACCCCTCACAAACCCATGCTGACTATCACGAATCAAACTGTGCCTATCTAAATGATCATAAATCCTATCTCTCAGAGCCCTTTCCAATAATTTGCCCACCAGTGAAGTAAGACTAACTGGTCTGTAATTTGCGGGGTTATCCCTATTCCCTTTTTTGAACAAGGGAATGACGTTTGCCACTCTCCAATCTTCTGGCACTACACCCGTGGCAGTGAGGACAAAAAGATAATCAAAGGCCCTGCGATCTCTTCCCTTGCTTCCCATAGAATGCTTGGATAAATCCCATCAGGCCCAGGGGATTTATTTATCTTCAAGTCCCTCAAAATTCCTAGTACATCCTCCTTACTAACATCCACCTCCTCTAGGCTACCAGCCTGTTTCACACTATCCTCCTCTACAACGAGGTCCCTCTCAGTTGTGAATACCAAAGAAAAGTATTCATTTAGGACCTCTCCTATCTCTTTAGGCTCCGTGCACAAATTCCCTTTACAATCCTTGATTGGCCCTACTCTTACTCTGGTCATTCACTTATTCTTCACACACATGTAAAAAGCCTTGGAGTTTCATTGATTGCCAGAAAAAACCCATCTGGTTCACAGATGTCCTTTAGTGACGAAAACCTGCTATCTTAACCTGGCCTGGCTTGCCCTACATGTGACTGCAGACTCTCAGCAATGTAGCTGACTCTTAATTAGGATGAACTATAAATGCTTACCTATCCAGCAATACCCACATTCCCTGAACAATAAAACATTGAGGCAGGCAGGTAGGTAGGCAATGGGAAGGCCACATGTTGCATTTTACATGCCTCCTTTATACATTTCAATATTATTTACGTACGCATGTGGGATTTAATGTAGCTTCCCGATTAAATTAAACTTACATGATGAGTCTTCTGTACCTTCAGTAACTCATTCATTCAACATTGGCAATTTAAAACATGACTTACCTGACTCTCAAGTCACTCTTTTGACTTAAAGAGGGAGTCAATTGGATTGATTTTTGGGTGCTCAAATTTGATAGCTGAATAGTGTTACAAGGTAGGAAGTGAGTGAGTCCAAGGTTAGCTCCAAAAGATTAAAAGGGATAGCGCACAAACCAAAAGGTCAGAAGCAACTGTCATTAAGGGGAGTTCCAAAAGAGGATTACACTTCAGAGACTGCCTTGAAAGAAAGGGAAGGGAAGAGGATATTGGACAATGGGCATCATACAACCTCTGCTTTCATCTGAGGGTGGGGGGGCGGGGAGGAGAAGAAAATCAGTGTTGCACAGGAACACCAAACTATACAGTGCAGGCAGCCCAACAGCATGTACAGGAGGGAACACAACAACAGCACACCAGGAGGAGAACAGAGATAAACTCAGGCCCCCAGAACATACTTCATTATACTCTTGTAAATACTAACTACAAACAGAGAGGCAATGAAGGTTATTGCAGATCTTAAGTATATGTGGCCTGCATGTCCAAAGGTATAACAGACCACACTTGCGTTGCCATCAAGGCTCAATCCTAACAGCCAGCCAGTCATGCCAGCCAGAATAGTTATATTAAGGCAGGGTCATCATCACTTCAAGGGCATAATAAACATTGGGAAAATATAGGGATTGCTGGAAATGCCATTCATATCTGGGATAAGGAGGTGAAACTCTAGCCACTTACAGTTATACCTCTTGACTTTGCAAACACTCGTGCAAGTGTCAGCGTTAAATATAAGCATTTCATAATGGCTGGTTACACACTTTTCAAATGCTGCATTGCAAGGCAGTGCTTTCAGTAATATCTATTTATACTGCTGCGGGTAATGCCAATAACTCAACCCTTTTTTAGAAGGATGCAATCTTTGGCAGGATGCACATTGGAATTAAGTTATGATTAAGGACAAATAACTTGCTGTCACCACAGCAAAATGAAAGGAGGATGACAACAATCTACTCAATATAATCCTATTGAGGCAAGAGATAAAGGCAGGGGGAAGATATGTTCGTTCTTCATCAGATTGTGTTTAAAAAAAAAATCACATCGTACAGGGTGCTACAAGACCAAAAATATATGCAAAAATCAAACGTGGTCTTATTTTAGAAACTACTTACCCGATTGAGGTATGCTGTGCATTGCTCAACATTCTCCTTTGTGCAAAATAAACTTAAATTATGACTGGTAAATACAGGCAGTGTTTCAGTGGGACTGTTATGGGGAGACATGTGGGGTCTGGATATATAGCGATAAATAAACTCTTTGCCTGCTGTAAAAACAAAAAAACAGAAAATTAACTGAGCCAGTACTGTACAACAGCTAACAGACTCTTCTAAAGTGACTCAGTCTGAAACTAATTAATACCATCTACAAATATATTAAGCATGATTTTAAGCATTTGAACCCTTTTAGGAATTAACTATCAAAAGATGCTGCAAATAGAAAGGGCAGCTTAAATATTTATAGTGACATTACTGCTGACAAACTTGTGCCATTCAATGCCAAATACAGATAGTTTGGTTCAGAGAAATACTTAAAAGAAGATGATATCATGAACACTTTACATATTGATAAAAAGTTATAAAACCACACTAGGAATATTACATTTACTTAAGCAACTACTCGATGCATAATCTATAACCCATGGGGGTTGCAAAATCTCCCAGCCTTAGTGTGAAACCTCAAGAGCTGTTGCAAGCAACCCAGAAAAAATACCAGAGAAAAAGTTTGCACCACTTGAAGATTTGGGTCTACAGATTGTGCACATTTCTGGAATGACAGCTTCAAATTTTGACACTAAATCCTTCAAGGCCCCCATTTCACAAAAAGCTTTAGGAGTTGTGTTGACAAACCAAGGAACCAGCTCAGATAGTGTGCATGTCTGCTCGATCAGAAGTTCAAACGCAGACAAAAGCAAGATAATCACAAAACATTAAACTACAAATACAACCATTGGTTTCAACTATTAATAAACGCATTTGGTTTCAACTATTAACAAACAAACAAACAACTAGGTTCTAGATAAAAACTGAAAGAACCGAGGATGCTACAAAATCAATCACAAAAACAAGTTGCTGGAAAAGCTCAGCAGGTCTGGCAGCAAAGGGTGGAGACCCTTCTGAGGAAGGGACACCAGAATTGGAACATTAACTTTGATTTCTCTTCACAAACGCTGCCAAACCTGCTGAGCTTTTCCAGCAACTTCTTTTCTTTTTTTTTTAAAAGTAGGTTCTACACATGGATTCTTCTCTTCCTTTGAGAACGATTTTTGATTTTATTGCCACGTGTACCGAAAGTGAAAAGCTTTGGTTTGATTACAAGTGGTACAGGCAGATCACAGCAAGCAAAGGATGTACAGATCAAAAAGACTGAGGCATACAGGTTACACTATTTGAGGCTAGAGTCTATTCAACAGTCTGATAACGGCCAGGAAGAAACTGTTTCTGAGCCTGCTTGTTCTTGTGTTCAGGCTTCTGTATCTTCTGCCTGATGGAAGAGGTTGTAGCAGATCGTTACCAGAGTGGGATGGATCTTTGACGTTGGCCGCCTTTCCACAGCAGCGAGTCGTGTAAATAGAGTCCATGGATTGAAGGTTGGCTTCCGTGATGGTCTAGGCTGTGCACACCACCTTCTGTAGTTTCTTACAGTCCTAGGTACAGCAGTTGCCATACCAGGCCATTATGCACCTGGACAGTATGCTTTCAATGGTTCATCTGTAGAAGTTGGTAAGGGACCTTATGGACATAACAAATTTCCTGAGCCGCCTGAGGAAGAGGGGGCATTGTTGTGCCTTCTTGACTGTCACATCTACATGGGAAATCCAGGACAGATCGGTTATCATCACTGAGAAACTTGCTCTTCATTCTCTTAACCTCAGTTCCGTTGATGTAGATGGGGGCGTGTTCTAATTTCTTTCTGATGACTATGATCAATTCTTTAGTTTCGCCGACATCGAGACAGATTGTTTCCACTGCACTAGGCCACAAAGCCCTCTATCACCTTTCTGTTTTTTGATTCGTTGTTAGGTATCCGTGGTGGTGTTGTCAGTGAACTTGTAGATGGGGTTTGTTTGGAATTTGGCAACACAATTGTAGGTGCACAGGGAGTACAGTAGGGTGCTGAGGATGTATCCTTGGGGGGGGCTCCAGCGTTGAGTGCTATTGTGGAGGAGGTGTAGTTACCGATCCTCACTGATTGTAGTCTATGGGTCAGAAAGCTAAGGATCCAGTTGTACAGGGTGTAGCTAAGACCAAGGTGACAGAGTTCTGAGATCATTCTGGCGGGGATAATGGTGTTGAAGCCAGAGCTGTAGTCAACGAGCAGGTATCTGATGTAGGTGTCCTTGTTGTTCAGATGTTCCAGGAACGAGTGCAGTGCTAGGGATATGGCATCCTCTGTGGACCTGTTCTGTTGGTAGGCAAACTGTAGGGGATTGAGGCAGCTGGGAGACTGGAGTTGATGTGGACCATGTCCAGCCTCAAAGTACTTCATGATTATTGAAGTCAGAACTATTGGGCAGTAGTCATTAAGGTACTTAAAGATTGGTTTATGGTTTAGGTTAGTCTAGTCTCCATGCGTGTATAACTTCATATTGAGCACTTTCAGCATTGGCAGGGTGAAGAATTGGCTTTGTGCCTTGATCATTTGACCTAAAGACATGACTACAGTCCTTAAACTGATGAGGCTTTGCCATTTGGGTCTGTACAAGATTGATATTCCTTTAAGCACTGGGATCCAGCTTGCCAACTCAAGGCTAGTTTACAGATCTCCCTGTAGTTCAGATTCCTCATGTTCAGCTGGCTATACATTACAACCTTTGTTCCCTGGAATCCTTAATTTGAACCACATCCTAACCTAATGAAGCTGATGAACATGCTGTTAATGCCAGGCGTACAACATAAATGCAGTTGTACAAATGCAAAATAGGCACACCTAAATAATGGACTCCATTATTCTATTTTACACATTTAGAATAGCGTCTAGCCTTCAGCTACCTCGTCCCTCCCTGCAAAAGCCAATTAGCTAGTCCTACTCTTAAACCTTTGGTCAGGTACTTATCCAATTTCCTTTCATAAACCACAATTTTGAATCTGGTCAGTCTCTCTCGTCATGCATTCCAGATCATAACTGTTTGCCACGTAGAAGTTGTTCCTCGTGCTACCTTTGGTTCTTCTGCCAACAACATTACAACTGTGTCCTGTTTCTCAACTGATAAAGCTTTCCCTTATCTGGGTTGACCTTGTAAGGATTTAAAACACCCCTATCACAACTCCTCTACATCTTCACTCTAGAAAAAATAAAGTTTCTCCAATCTATCTATCTATAGATGAGAAATTGCTCATCTCTGGAATCAACAGTCAAAAAAACTTTTCTGCACCTTCATTAAAAAGGTACTTCAAATGCCTGATCGGGTACTTGGTTAGCTTGATTAAGCCTAATTATCATAAAGCAATTACAGATAGCGCTTAGTATAAACTTTTAAAAGTTTATAAATATGAAAAAATTAAGTGAAATTTACATTTGAAGCATTTCATAAAATGTTTTTATAAAGGCAATGGAATGACAAAAGTTAAATGAGTAGGATTCACGCAACAAGTAGCATGAATTTCCAAAGGGACCAAACAGGATCAAGAAGTAACTGAATTGGTTTACGAAATAAGAAAGAATTGAAGGATGTGGTAACAGACTGATTTAAACTGTACTTATGACGTGCTTTTGCATGCATATCACAAACCTATATGCACTTTGGGACATGTTGAGCCATTTCTCAAGTGGGACTTAACCAGATCTTTGGGCCAAAGAAGGGGACACTACCACAGTGTAGTAAGTACAATAAGAGTAATCTTGCACACCTGTATAAAAGTCAAGCAAAATGAATCAGCCCCTATGGGTTTCAATACTTGAGGCAAGATCTCAAGATAACTCAAGTGTAACACTGCTCATTTAGAATTTGTAAGAGGCAGGTTTAGAGCTCGTGGTGCAGTGGTAATGTCCCTACCACTGGGCTGAGACAGCCAGGTTCAGTTCCACCTGCTCCAGAGGTGTTTAAATTACATCTCTGAACAGGTTGTTTAGAAAATACATATATTTTAAAACATGAGGCAGGTTACCAATGGATTTGGTATTTAACTGTCAGCTTCAGTACTGACTTTTCCTATCCAAAAGGTGGCAGTGCTACAGAACAAGTGCCAAGAGGAAAAGAGCTGTATGAAAACGGTTCAGTCTCCATTATCTTTTAATTTACATTCAATTTACTAGTGGAAATGTTAAAAGATTGATGAAACTGCAAAAGTGATAGGGAGGTAGAACAGTTAGACTCAAAATTTGAAAACACAATGCACTCCAAAGATATTTAGCTGTATTGTGAAATAATCTGCTATTAACAACTGTGATTTACTGGAAGTACGTAAGCCACAGGAAAGGAAAGCACTTCCCTCAAAATTATAACACAAGGTACACCGACATTGGAATTTCCCAAATGAAACATTTGGGTATTTTAACTTAAGTAAAATTAGTGCACACATACCTGGCAATGGCTCTGGTTCTGGCATGGTTATAGCTCTCCAATCTCCCATAGCAAGTAAGCAGCCTGATTAATTGCACAACCAGTTCAGCTGTAACACATACAACTCACTGATTTAAATATGTCAATGTAGGCAACACCTAAAAATAGAAAGTAATGCCTAAAAATTAATCTAATGGGTTTTTTAAGATTTATGTCAGCAACACAATGGCATTATCAAGATCAAACTTTGATTTTAGAACTCATTTATTGATCGATTTTGACAGGTGGTTAAAAGGATTGTCAACCCAATTCAAGAACCACTGGACCATAGCTTGAGGAGTATGCATCAAGTATTGTGCATTTTTAGACTGTCACTCACAAAAAGAACACAAAGAAGATTGGGTGTGATTTTCATTCTTTAGGTCAAGCTAAAAATCAAGGTGTGTAATTTTTGCCAGTTTGATTGGGTTGGGGTGGAGTGGAAAGGAGCTGATTTGTTGAAATATGCCAAGTCCTCGAGGAATTATGAGCACATCAGGTACTAATGTTAAAGACAGGCTTCCCATCAACATTGTTAACACTTTGTCTTCAGAAAACTCAAAAGTAAACTAATAGAAGAGCTTAAAATCAACAGTTTATATAAGTTACTAGGAGCTTTAAGTTTAAAGCGCAGGCAACGTAGAACCCAGCAGGTAGTCTCCCATATTTCAAGCTGCCTGACAGATCCGAAACATTATACTGCATGGCTCTCCTACCCTTCAGCC